TTATGTTGCCTTCTTTTTTGAGTGCATATGAGTATATGTCACAAATAGCAATCGGTTAAGTATCTTTTTATGGTTGGTACTCTTTTTGATGTCTTGTTTATAATATATTTCATGTCTTTCTTTTAAGAAAAGTAGTTGGCTTGTCAGAATGTTCTGAGTAATATACATAATAATATTGAAGAACTCATAAAATACCTAAATGCAGACAGCACAATATTTTTCTTTCTTTTTCTTTTAAAAAGAGACATGAAGATGCAAAAGAACCTAGAGAGATTGTAGGCACTAGTTTATGATGGTAGATCAATAACAGAGACAATTCATCTGGATTTTAAAGTAATTGTCAACTTTTTTTACAATTGCGCAAGATGGCAAAAGAGGTCTTTCAAATTTTATTTGGCAATGTGCACTCGGTCACTGGAGACACATTGTTAACAGCAGCTCCTGATGAAGAATCCTTTCTAAGAAATGTTATAACCCCCATCTATGAGGTTCTACGCAAGGTAATTGCTGTTTTTTAATACCTAATATTTCTTCCTGCTTATTTATAACTTCCTAACCGAAACTCGATTTTATTTGGTGAAAAGGAAGCTAGGAGAAATAAAGGGGGGAAGGCAAGCCATTCAAAATGGAGAAATTATGATGATCTAAATGAATACTTTTGGTGAGTTTATGAAAATTTGATCTTCTTTTATATTTGTTAAAATATAATAGCTGAAAATTACACATTTTTTTGTAAGGTCTGATAAGTGTTTGAAGCTACGGTGGCCCTTGGACATTGGAGCAGATTTTTTTATTCATTCGGATGAGATACCGCTGCCTGATGAGGTATTGATTAATTTTCATATTGGTCTTAGTTCTTAAGAAATTCAACTCTCATTGTTTTCTATGAGAGAAGTGTTGTTTGCTGTTTCATATGTATATATATATTTAAGAAGAAAAGATATCTAATATATATATATATATATATATATATATATAATTGATGCACCAAAGGAATGCAATCCAAGTACAAATAATTGTGAAGATTTTAAAGTTAAAGAATCCAACAGCTTTACAAAATGACTCTAAAAGCTCAACAATTTCTCTTCTCAAAATGATCCAAAAATAGACTGTGGAATTAGGGAAACAATATTCTTTTCAGGCTTAGGAAACTCAATACTATCGTGGCAAGGGCAAGAGAAGTCCTCTGTTATGGGGCTACTTTTGCGGGATCATCATTATGGCTTGAATGGAATTGTAGGATTTTGAAAGATCATTCTTCTCTGAGCCAATATATGTGGGAGAGGATGACATTTCTGGCCACCATATCAGTGAAGGCCCTTGAGAAATTTTCAGATATTACTACATGTGTGCTATATAGGAATTAGGGGTTGATAATTCTTGATCCTCAGTGGGTCTTCTTGTAACTAATTTGTATTCTCAAGTTCTGTATTAGAAGACTCTAGGAGGATGTCTTAGTCTATGTAATTATACCATTCTCATCTTTTGTAACACTTAATTTTCTGTCAAAAAAAGGAATCTTAGTAACATTTCTAGCCTGAATATCCTTCTTGATATCATCATACATCATCCAAGAGATATTAGGTGAGCGACAGAGCCATTACAAGAGTCCTTACAGTAATTCATGGTCCAAAACAGAGAACATGAGACCAAACAGAAGGAAGAATAGGGTTTCTGGTGTATTTTATTTATTCACACCTTTGACATATATAGGCACGTGTACATGGTTTCTAAAAGATAAATATAGATGCATATAACTAATTTTTGGATTTTAGATTAAGTAGATAACAGTTACCCAATAAGTCAAGGATCCTTTCTCCATAATTTTGGCAGTCAACTATCCTCCTCAAGATGGTGCACAGACAGCTCCATAATTCATGGTCCTGCAAAATTGCTTGGTTCCCAGTCCTGTAGTGGAGGCATGTAAGAGTTGTTTTTCATTAGTTACATAAAGGATTATTAGAATACCTCAAGCTTTTCTTTGAACGGTTCAGCAAGGACATGCACAAATGTTAAACCCAGAAGCATGTATAGATATTATCCGCTGTAATGAAGTTCTAGACCGTGGTATTTACTATTTTGCTGTCAGGTTTTTAGGTGTTTTGTTGAGAACCTAGATGAAAGTTGAGGGAGAATGACTTATATTGTTCTCTGTTGTCATTTTTTCTATTGTTTAGTTGGGAATACCTTTTTCTTTATAGTAGTGGGATTTCAATTTAGCTCTATATTAGAAATCTTGTATTAAATGCTGTTGACTCACATTATTGAAATTTCTTTTTTATTTTTCTTAATTGGTGGAATACAACAAATCAATATGCTCCCGAGCAATATTCTAATGAGGCCTTGCTGAGGCTTTATTGAACCATGAGTTTAGTAGCTTATAGTGTCGCTGATACTCAACAATTAACTTTCTTTAGACAACCCTTTTCCTGCTCTCATCCCTGCTAATTACTATTCACTGGCACTGTTCAAGTCCCTGTTTCAGCATAATTTCATGGTACATCCCTATCAATTCTTCTTAGACCCTCCAAGAATATAAAATAAAACATTTATTATGGTGAGAATTCCGTAGTATTATTTTCTCCTTTAAAAAATCTAATTTCTTTTGTTTTGTCTGCAGAGACCTAATCAAGTCACTTATGGGAAAAGGAAACCCAAAACTAATTTTGTTGAAGTCCGAACATTTTTGCACCTTTTTAGAAGTTTTGATCGAATGTGGATATTTTTCATTTTGTGTTTGCAGGTAGGACTAACGTTCAATGGTCTTACTCTGTTTCTGAGTATTGTACTCAAGTTAAACGCAACTGATTATTTATTGTCTCCAGGCCATGGTAATTATTGCTTGGAATCCTTCGGGCTCTCTTGCTGCATTTTTTTATGAAGATGTCTTTAAAAGAGTAATGAGCATATTTGTCACTTCAGCTTTTCTTAATCTTCTGCAAGGTACTGGTGATACTCGTATCTTTAAATTTTTTCTTCCACAATACCATTTAATTTGGGGCCAGCAGTTATCAGAAGCTGTGATAGTTTAATCTGCATGCTATAGAGTGACTTTTCTTTTTGCAATCTTGAAATTCTTCATGATTTGTGCAGCGACTCTGGATATCATTCTGAGTTTTAATGCCTGGAGGAGCTTGAAGTTCTCCCAGGTTCTGCGGTACCTCTTAAAATTTGCTGTAGCGGCAATGTGGGCAGTAGTTTTGCCAATTGGTTACTCTAAGTCTGTGCTGAATCCTACAGGAATAGTGAAATTCTTCAGCAGCTGGGCGGGGGATTGGCGGAACCAGTCATTTTATACTTATGCTATTGTAATTTATTTGATGCCAAACATATTAGCTGCTTTAGTATTCTTGCTTCCACCATTAAGGAGAATGATGGAGCGCTCAAACATGCGGATTATCACTCTTATCATGTGGTGGGCTCAGGCAAGTATTGCTACTTGCTTTTAAAGTTGTAGATGTTAGATATCATTACATTTTCTATGTTTTCCTGATATGAGTACTGCAGCCAAAATTATATGTCGGAAGAGGCATGCATGAGGACATGTTCTCACTTTTGAGGTAAGGGAAACACTGTTTTTGTTTTCTGGATAAAGAAAGAAATATTATTAGAGAGAGAAATGAGGAAAGTGCAACAGTGGAGGATAAAAGATCCTTCCAAACAGTGAAAACAGAAAAAAGAAAACTGTGGTTCCAAATAGTATATCAAAGTAACTTCTTTTCAAATGGTATATCAAAGTAACTTCTTTTCACTTGATTACATCACAAACACACACCCTATAAATGCTTTCTGAATAAATGAATAATATATTAAGTAAACAAAAAAAAAATAGAAAAGCCAGATAATGCAGGACAAGAAGATTCTAATATGGAGTAACTTTTTATTAAAAGTTTTTTGTAATTATAATTATTGCTTGGTATTTTTAATTTATTTAGCCTATTTAAGTAGATTTTGGGTTATAGAAACTTATGTCATGAATGTTGATTTCATATATTATAAAGGCTCTTTGATTTCCTCTTTTGTTTAATATTGTCGTTGTTAGTTGCTCTCTTCCTCTATTATTGGAAGTTGAAGTAGTAAATGAGTGATTTAAGAAGTCGAGTAGAGAGAACATATGAACTGCTCTGTGGTCGTTCAGGTTTCTATGAAAGAACAGATTCCAAAATATTGATTATGTATTAATTTTTATATTTAGGAAATAAAAAACTAGAATACTAAAGCTTATGTTTTTTCAATCTGTGTCTTCATTTTTGTTGTTATTTTCGTTCTTGAAGAGGTTTTGAGGGCTTTGTTCTATCACTTCTTTTTTTGTAGTTTTATTCGGTTCACGTTTTATTTTTTTATGGAATAGTGCTATCATCTAAATGTGCCTTAATTCCACTAATGACATTGCATTTTTATGTGCTAAGGTATACGCTTTTCTGGATCATGCTGCTAATCAGCAAGCTTGCTTTCAGCTATTATGTGGAGGTAATTTATCTTCTTTTGCTTACATTTTTTCTCCTCAAGTATGTTGATTGTTTGTTTCTGCCACCGTTTCGTGTACTTGACTGGTAATATTTGCAGATGATTTCTTATATGTATGAGATTGGTTCTTTTGGAGTGTTGAAAAAGTGGTTTATTCTCCTTAGGGGGTGATTTACTCTAATTCATGCATGTCTATCTAGGATGTTATTTGTTTTTATTTAGAATTCCCGTAGAGATTGTGGAAGAGAATACAGAGATGCATGAAAAGATTTTTATGGGCAGGGCTGAAGGAGAAGCATAGGGATTATCTAGCGAGTTTGAAGGTTTTTGCTGGTCCAAGAACTTGGCTGGCCTTGATATTGAGAATCTTAGATAAAAAAATTATTTCTTTTGGCTAAATGGCTTTGACGATGCTCGGGGAACCTAACTCAATGTGACACAGGGTGATCAACAGTTTTTTTATAGAAACTACAGGAGTGAATGTGTTGCAATAGCAGGATGATCCATTTCATACAAAAATTCATGGAAATCAATCTCCAAAGTCCTTATATAGTATTTATCTTCGACCTATTTGTGAATTGGAGATGGACCAAGAGCATTGTTTTGGGAGGATAACTGGATTAGAAACCATTTCTTAGCAAGCCAATTTCCACGCTTATCCTCTCACCATTATCTCCTATTTCCTGTTTTGCCGATTCAACTAAAGGGTCTTCAGCATAGGATTTTCATTTTAATTGCCACTTATTTGATATGGAGCCTTGTGACCTCCTTACCATGTTACAAAGGTTATTGGAGTCTGTCAATTTAAGTCCTCAGCCAGTATGTGTGTTTGGACACTAGGATCTTTAGGGTTATGTACTTGTAAGCTTTTCCTGACCATCTCCTAAAATCCTGACCTTTATCAGTCAGGATATTTATCTAATATGTCATTTTGCTGGGGGGGTGGGGGGGGGGGAAGTGT